TTTATTGCATTTTAATCTAACATTATCAAAAATTAAAATGCAATAAAAATTAAAATTTTAATAAAAATTCTCAGAGTCCTATGTTCCTAGCAAACCTCCCATATTTAAGCCATTCTTTAAAAATATCATTTTGCATCCATGCTATTCATGCTTTTAGATTAGCATAATATATACATAAAAGTGAGTTACAGTTAATTTGATTAAGACATCTAGGATTTTTTGAAGAACTAATTACAAGTGATTTAAGTTTTTCTGTATCAGTAGCATTTGTAGCTAAAAAAATAGTAATACAAGATTTGTCCTAAAAAAAATATTAATTTTATTATTTTTTTTATAAAACACAAAATAATAAATAAAATTAATCTATTACTTACTTATTTTATATCCAGAGTAGAAACAGATGCTAAAGTTTGATTAGGTGTCATATGAAAAAAGAGTCCTATTTCATCTGCATTGAATATATTTTCAAGTGGATAATCTTTTAAAACTTCTTGCAATTTGTTTCTTTCTTCAGAAAGAGTTTCTAATAGTGTACTATTTGCTTCACCATGTAAATGATATCTATGAATATTATTGTGATTTTTAAACCTTTGCATCCAACCATTTGAAAAAGATATATTTTTACATGAAATTCCAAATTCTTGTGCAAAAAAAAAGCCTTCTCTCTAATAATCATTTCTGAGACTGCAAGATTATTAGCATTTGCATTTTCTATCCATAATCCTAATGCTTTCTCAATTTGTGGATATTTAACTTCTTTATAATGAAAATTTTTAATATTATTTGATGATAAAAGATTTGAAAGCTATTTATCCTTTTTTTTTAACAATCTTTAAAATTGTTGACTTATCAATATTTGGGTTTTTATTTTGTTGGTTAAAGTAGTCAGCAATTTGTTGCTGTGATTTATTTTTATTCTCAGATTTCGTAGCATATATACATATTTGTTGTTTTTTATCATCATTTATTACAGTATGTGATTTTTTTGTACTTGGAAGAGGTGGCATTTTAAAAGATAAAAAAGAAGAAAATTCTTGAATGTGTTTATCAATCATTTTCAATTTATGCAATTAAAAAGTTTTTGAAATTATTAATTAAAATATTACATTATTATAAATACTAATAGGATAATTTTTTTTAAATAAAATTCATCTTTATTTTTTATTTTTATTTTTGAAGTTGTACTAGAATCTTTGCAAAACAAATAAAAATTTATCTTGTAATACAAATTATATTATTATACATATTAATTTTATTTATTTAGTAATATAATTTTAATTTTTTATTCTAATTTAACCGTAAAAAAATAAAATTTAAAATTCCTATAGGTTGATACCTCACTGATTGTATTTTGATATCTCATGTCATAATTCCTAATCTTTTATTGTATTTATATTAATATACCAAGATGCTAAATCTAATTAAAAAAAACATTAATACGTTTCTTTAAAGCTAATCTAAATACTCTTCAAAGAAACTAATATACCAGTTTAAAGTCCCTTCTATAAAGTCTGAAACCTATAAAAAAAGTGTTAGTATATTTCTTAAAGCTAATTCCAAAACAAAATTTCTTTCAAGGAAACTAACATACTGGTCCAAAAGTCCATTTAAAACTCATACCAAAAAAATCAGCGTACCCGTTTGAAATGCTACCTGAAAGAAACCAAAACCTATAAAAATAAAAAAAATAAACATTAATATATTTCTTAAAGTTAATTTCAAAACTCAAACCAAAAAAACTAACATATCTGTTTGAAATGCTGTCTCAAAAAACCAAAACCTACAAAAATAAAAAAAAAGAAACATTAATATGTTTCTTAAAGTTAATTTCAAAGTCCAGTCCAAAAAATCAACACTTCCATTTAAAATACCGTCCAGAGAAACCAAAACTTACAAAAAATAAAAAAAAGACATTAATATATTTCTTAAAGTAAATTTCAAAACCAAATCAAAAAAAACTAACATATCTATTTAAAATGCTATTCTAAAGAAACCAAAACTTACAAAAATAAAAAATAGAGTTAATATATATCAATATATATATATCCCTTAAAGTAAGATATTAAAAAAAGAAAAATTTATCTTTTTGAAGCATCTTCCATCCAAACCATCATTATGAATGAGCTTATAAGAAGAAAACGTTGTGTGTTGCACATATCATTATACAATCAAAATGAAATCTTGATTATCAGGTCACAAATCTTCTCTTTATCAGAATTACGTGATGTGAATATACAAAGGTTTTATTTACTTTACTAAAAGAAGGTTGGACGCATATTTTCAGTATGATAGTGATTACCAGGGTTTCGCAATTCGATTTAATGTTTGAATATTTGATTTGATCAAATTCAAATCAAAGAATGATTTATTTGATCAAATCCAAATCAATGTTTGATTCAAT